TTGCACTGTCTCTTGCAAGCAAGCAATACTAGAGAGCAGAGCCAAATTCGTAGCATTGAGCCCCACCCGAGTCTCCATGTAAATGGAGGCCAAGACCAGGGGAGGTAGCTCAGGAATCTCAAGCTTTAGAGCGCATAGCCGGTGTTGGACAGCAGACAGGTCATAATGCACAAAGCTTGCCCCAATGTTGAGGCCAGTCCTGATCAAGATCGCCAGTCCACCAGAAGGCTTCAGAATCATGCGGCATGGCCGGAGAGAAGAAGGACTGCCAACCACGCTCTTGACACCATTCCGCAACAGATTGAATGGACTCCTCAGACATGAGGAGGGTTTCCTGCAGGACAAGAATCGAAGCCTGCGGGAAACAATACAAACCAGACTCCTGGGCGTCGTTACTCTTGAAGGTGGCAAACGAGTTGGTATTTAGGGTGGTTATTTGCAAAGCCCTCCCTCGGCTCAGTGCCCATTTAGGGCAGGAGTCAAGCTGCCCAGAATTGGACCTTGGTGGGGCCGTACTCGGATAGGTACTTGCGGTCGGGCCTGACTGGCCCGCCGCTGGGGTATGACCCTGGGGCCCGAGCCGTGAGTTGCCGCTAGGGCATTGGTGTGGGCTACCCCCCAGACCCACGGGCCGGTCCCCTCCAGAGGCAGCATTCCGGCCGAGTCCTGCAGGCGTCGACGACGACGGCGGTCCCACTCAGCAGTATCCATATCTTCATCGGCGGAGGTGGCAGAATTATCGAGTCCCTCTTCCTCCATGTCCTCCTCCTCCACATCGTCGCCCTCGTAGTTGAAGGCCGCATAACGGTTCTGACGAACAGGCCCATACCTAGAATCAGGATCAGCAGGTGGAGCAGCAGCAGGGGCATCACCAGGAGGCCCTCGAACACGACGACCACCCTTGCCCTTGCCCTTTCCTCCTCGTCCTCGTCCTCTCCCTGGGACGTGCCAGGGACCCCCATGATCCTCCGGGGGAGGTGCATCCTTGAGGCGCCCCTCCAATGAGGCCAAGGCGGCGTCAAGATCGGGATCGTCACCTTCTGGACTACCACCCCTGTCCAAGCGGAGGCGGAGGAAGGCGAGGTCAGGGTCCGAGTCGGGCGGGGGAGGCAAGGGGAACTCCTTCTGAATCTCCTCCCGTTTCTCCTCCCAGTCCTTCAGGTCCAACTCAAGCGTGTCCCGCTTCATGCGCAGTTGGTGGAGCCGCTCGTCGCAATCGTTCGCCGTAGCCAAAGCCTCATCCCTCAAAGTGGTAGTCTCCATGATCGCATTGTTCACCTTAGAAATCTTGAGCTGCACCCAGTGCGCCCGCTTAGCCGCCCGTTCGGACTGAAGCGTTGCAGGTAGTAGCGCAGCCTTAGAGGTGCGATGAATATGAAGCCGTCTCTTCGTCTCCTTGATCAGTTCATCAAGGGTACCGGCACCATCAGTACGACTAGATATCCTCTGAAGGTCACTAAGATGGCGTTCAGTGGATGCGATAACATCCGTGAGGGATGCGTAATCGACCGCATCGTCATCATCAAGGCCAGCATTTTTGGCCTCAATGAAAGGGAAAGGGAGGGTTGGACTCGGAGGAGGATGCTGGCTGCTGGATTGGCCTGCCTCCAGAGAGACATGACAAAGGAAAACGGGGCGAATCGCAGGGGACGGTACAGTCGAGGCGTTGACCGAAGGAACCCTAAATAAGGAACGAGGCCCCGTTTTCCCATAAGTTCAACCTCGATTTCCTATGGAAAACCCCAGGAAAACCCGAGGCAAACTTTGAAACAATCAAGGAACACCGAGCCCCTCCCCAGCGAAAACGGTTGCTTCTTTTCTTCAGCGCCCCGACTGTAGCACGAATTGGCCAGACAGCCAAGCCACCGTGCCCATCCCCCCAGAAAAGCCAACAGCCTTACAACTGACAGGAACCAGATCGTCGTCACCATGCGGCTTGCGGTGTAAAGCCGACGGCACATCAAGACGCGCGGGTCAGCCAGTAAAGACAGTGATAAAGGTGGGGGGACCTCGCAAGAGAATGACCCACAGAGGTCAGACCCTCCAACTCGTGAGAGTCGGAGGGTAGCGGGAACAACAAGTCCCAAATTCCACCAGCCCTCTGGGCGTGAGTGGTTTAGCGGGCTTCCACTTCCAACTCCCTTTGTTTCCCTTCGGGGACGGGTGTATCACTGTCCCCTATGTTCCTTCTTAATAGATCCCCCTCCCCCAGGCGACCAGCGGCCAACCAGGAACCATGCTCCCCCCCACCATCGCTGCCAAAAACACTACAAAACGCAGTCTGTCTCCACATTTGGAGCATGCGCGGCCAGACCGATGCGCTCCTCTCCCCACCATCCCTGTCAACACACAATACAAAATACACTTTGGGGCAAAATATTGAGTCATGTTCGTGAGGCCCGCAAGCACTTTGTATTGTTTCTGACAGAGACGGCGGGGGTGTCAGCAGATTGCCTGCTCTGCGCAGGGCTACCATCCCTAACAAAAAAAACAACATGCACCTCGCTGCAAAATCTGGACAATGCGCGGCCACCCCGCGATAATTGTCATGACAGGGACGGCGGGGGTGGTGGCGCATGGCCTGCGGTGCGCAGGCCCACCAGACACAATGATGGGCACTGGTTTTCGGTAAGGATGGTGGGGGCCGACATGTTTCCCGATGTGTGCTGTCACGTGCGCAGGCGCACCTGACACACTCTGCACGTGCTCCGAACGTGGCGCACCTGGCGCGGCTGGAGTATGCGGCACACCTGGCGCACGCGGAGCACGTGGCGCATCTGGCGCTCCAGGCGTGCCTGGTACGCTCGGGCCCCAGGGATGCCTGGCGCACGTGGCCCGCCTGGCACGCGTGGCGCACCTCGCCCCAGCGTCGCGCACATGGGGTCGGCTTTGGCTCCCAGTAGCTGCCCAACCAAAGACGACCGCTGAGCATGCTCGGGCTCGGGTTTTGCTTTTGTGTTGAGAGGGCGGGTGGGAGTGAGCGAGACGATTTGCTATCTAGGGGTGTCTTGACCCCTCCCCCTACCCCCTTCCTCCTGGACCTGGACGGGGCGCCCCGCGACAGATTGGAGCGCCCATGAAGGCCTCGACGAAAAATCAAAAATCTATAATTTTGAATCGGTTTTGGCCCATTTGGGCCTGCAGGAGGGGGGGGGCCAATGCACCCCCCTTCCTTCTTTGATCAACCTCCTCCAAGATGGCCGCAAGACAGCCTCCAAGGCTCCGAGGAAGGCTCCAAGAGGGTACCAAGAGGCGCCCAGGATGCCCCAAGAGGCCCCCAAAAGGCCCCCAAGAGGCCCCCAAGAGACCCCCAAGAGACCCCCAAGAGCCTCGAGCCCGAAACTTCCCCAACCTTGTCCCCTCCCAAGCTGGAGGCCTCACAGATGGAGTCGGAGAAAATGGTCAGAGGATAGCACCGCACCGCCGACGCATCGCCGAGGCATCGACGATACATCGGTGCCGTCTGCGACATCATTGGCGTCGCCCGCGTGGAGAAGATCGGGCTCCACAGCGAGCCGCATCGCCGATACATTGGCGATGTGGCGCGTTCCTCATAACAAAAAGCAGCATAGACAGAAACTTTCGACTGTCTGCGCGGAGTTCTTGGATCCGCGCCCCCCCCTCACTGGCGCGCGGAGCGCGCCAGGGGCGGCGCCGGAGGCGCCGCCGAGAGGGGCCCAGCGCAGATCCAAGAGATCTGCGCGGACCGTCGACAAATCATGTTTATGATTTTATATGGTTCGATTCCTCCTACCCTATAGGCCTACCAAGACATGTTCTCAGAACCCTAAGAATGTTCGAATAACAAACAAGATATTCTTAGAACGTAATCACAATGTGATACAAAGCAATGTCGGCAAGAAATGTTTCAAGAACATGTCGTGCAGACCACAAGAGGTCCTTAGAACATTATATGATGGGCCTATGGGCAAGCAAGGACGCTTCGCCACTGCTTGATATCTTCCTGGCGCGCCAAAGGTTTTGACACCGCGCCGGTGACTCGACCTTGAACCGACCGCGGCCCCGATCTCTTTCGAGGTTGAATTCGGTTGGGTCCACTGGCGTTACCGTGTCCACGGGTGCTTCCGCGCCGCAGAACTCAACCCCGAACTCGGGGATCTTCTGACCCGAGTCAGCAAGAAACCAAAGACTGCAATGCAGGACAAAAAAACTGCAACGCAGGTCTTCGCAAACCCGTGTCAGCCAATAGGCGCGGCCGCCTCGCGGCCACGAGCGGCTCGCTAACCCGGGTCAGCCAGAGGGGGTCTTCGCAAGATCCTGCAGGATCCGGTGCCGTGGCTGACCCCCGTTTGCATTGACCCCCGTCTCAAGGCTCCCGACCCCAGAGGTCTGGACCCCTTCCCCGGGACCGAATTCTCATCCTAGATTGTTTTGGCTCCCAGTCCCAGAGCCCAGGAAGGGCCCCCGAAGGCTGAAGGTGGCGAATAAATCCTCTCGTCGTGAGCTTTCCGCCACGCGAGGCGGTCTGGGCATCTGCTCGGACCTCCTCTGGGAGGCCCAGTCCGACGCGGCCCCCCAGCGCAGGTGCTTGGCGGCGCGCACAAGGGGGTGGGGGGAGGGGGGGGGGCTTCTTAGAAGCAGGCTGCTTCTTAGAAGGCGCCGGCCTTACATCTGTAGATCGGCAGGACCATAAGGGGTACTAAAACCGTAGGGGTACCAAAACCAGGTGGGGTGGGGCGACAAAACACGCATGTTCATCAGAGCACAAATGTTAACTTTGACCTGATCCAATGTGGCCCCCCTCGCGCGCCCATGTCTACATCCGTCTCGCCCGCGCGCGTGCGCATTGGCTTCTCGCATTGGCTCCTCCTTATGGTGCTTCTGATGTAGACGAGGCCCGCGCCTTCTAAGAAGCAGGGGTGCTTCTAAGAAGCCCCCCCCCCCTCCCCCCATCCCCCTCTGCGCGTGGCGCAGGTGCGCCGAGGCACGCCGTCTCGCGCGGTGCGCCCGCGCCGGTGCGCGCACGCGCGGCGGGTCGCCGGCGCCGGCGTCTCCGATGATGATCAGCTTGAACCTGCGGGCGGGGCGCTCTCTCCCCACAGTAGGGGCCCGACCACCAGAAACCCTGCTCCCTGCTCCTCCCTCCTCCATCCTCCCTCCTCCCTCCCTCCTCCCTCCTCACCTCCCTCCTCCCCCTCCTCCCTTTCTCTTCCTCCGCTCCTCTTCCTCCTCCTCCTCCTCCTCCTCCTCCTCCTCCTCCTCCTCCTCCTCCTGCTAGAAACCCCAACCCTGAGACCCCAGGGCGAGGGTGCACGGACAAAAAGTGTCCACACCCGGGGCGACAAGACACTGCGGCGTGATAGCAACCGCAGCAGCATGATGCACTTGCCTCGCACCCCTCCCCCCCAAAACCCAAAGTTGAAGTGTCCACATGTTGTCCCCGGCGCGCGGCCTGCCGCCTAACCCCTGCCAACTTTGAGTTGGGGGAAAGGGGGGTATACATATTCGTTCGACGTGATTTGACGACGAGTTGTCCTGGCGCGACAAGTGTGGACACTTTTTGTCCGCCCACCGGACCATTGGCTTTTGGTGTGGGAGCGTCGCGCTGTCCATCGCAAGACGATCGAAGCCCGAGGAACCCGGGGCACCCTGGAGGCAAGCAGGGTGTTCCTTGGCATGGTCCTCCACTGTATTTTGAACCCCCGAAACGGGTGCGCACAGAAATTGGCACGGTGCCCCACAACCAGTGCCAGCTTGGCGCAAAAATCGGCAATCACGCGCGAAATGGGCAATTACGCACAAGAGATAGTTCGGGGATGGACAGACCTCCCTTTGGTAAAACGTGGTTTAGCAAAAACGACCTCGGGCCCAAACCTTGCGGGCGCAAACCTGGAAAATAACGGCCGTGGCGCCCTCTCGAGAACCGAAAACGGACAATTCACTAATCGACGTGTCAGGGTAGGGGGTCTGTCCACCCCCGAATAGTGCGCCCGGCCGCTCTCGGGCACGGAAGAGACTGCGCCGGCATCTCCGAGGATGAGCAGCTTGAACCTGCGGAGGGGCGCCCTCGATTCTCTGAGCGCCCGAGAGGGGTGGAGGGGAGGCGCAGACCCCTCCCCGAAGGCGAAGAAGGGGAAGATGGAATGGAAGAAGAAAAAGCGCCACAAACATTGTTACTTTTGGCGCTCCGCGCGGACTTCTTGGATCTGCGCTGGACCCCCCTCTCTGGCGCGCGGAGAGAGCGCCAGGGGCGGCGCCTCCGGCGCCGGGGGGGGGGGGCCAGCGCGGATCCAAGGGCACCCGCGCGGAGCGCCAGAAGCTTCTGTTCGTGGCGTGCCCTCTTCTTTTCTTTTCTCTCGATGGACGAGGAGACCCTTCCAGCCCACCTGACCACGAAAAAACACATCCCCAATCCCAAAATCGAGGATTCGCCGAGGATTCGAAGATCGGCCAAAGATTTCGGGGTATGACTTGCGTTCGTCGTCGTCACCGTGGTAAAACCCTGCCCCAAAATCCCCCCTCCCCGAAGTCTCGAGGTGTCTGCGTTTTGTCTTGGCCCCCGCGTTTTTGGGATTGGGCGTCTGTTTTGAGTTAGTGACCACCTCCGCCCAAGTGGCTGGTGGGGTTGCCGTGCGCCGGCGAGCTGGGAGGATGGGGTTCACTTCGCTCGGGAGCTCCCGAACGAAGTGAACCCCACCCTCCCCCTCAGAAATCGTGGGGGGTAGCGGCAGGGTTCGCAATGCGGCCCCCCACTCGATGGACGAGGAGACCCTTCCAGCCCACCCCCGCCCAGATGGCTGGTTCGGGGGCGGCAAAGAGGGGGGTGTCCAAGAGGGGGGGGTGCAAATCATGACCGGCGGCACGTGCGCGGCCCAGCGGGGGGGCCAGGGACATAATGAAATAAGAGGAGGCGCCATGAAATCTGGGGAAATATCATGGCCCCCGCCATGATATCCACCCCCCCCTAGTCATCACCCCCCTCTTTTCCGCCCCCGACTGGTGGGGTCGCCGTGCGCCGGCGAGCTGGTAGGCGGCCGCCGATGCATCGCCGATGCATCGGCGATGCATCGGCAACGTCGGAGACGCATCGGCGACGTCGGCGTGGAGAAAATCGGGCTCCGCATCGAACCGCATCGTGGATGCATCGGCGATGCAGCGCGATCCTCCGACCCCATCTACCAGAGGAAAAAGAACTATGCACATGCACCGATTCTGGCCAGGCCCATCCTGAGCCCAAGATCGGTGCATACGCCCTCCTACCTTGGCCAGGAAGGCATATGCACCGATCCTGGGTCAAGGATGGGCGTTGTCAGGATCGGTGCATGTGCATAGTTCTCTTCGCCCCATCTACTCCGACCCCATCTAGGAGGCCTAGAATTAGTGACCACCTCCGCCCAGATGGCTGGCGGGGCTGCCGTGCGCCGGCGGGCTGGGCGGCGGCCGCACCCGGGCGGCCCGCACGCTGGCCCCCCGACGGCGGGCGGCGGGGCGCCGGCCTCCGCGCTGGCTGCGGGTCGTTGGGCGGGCGGCGGCCCGGCGCTCTCTCTGCGGAGCGCCCGAGAATCAGGGGGACGTAAGACCTGGGAACAGGGGACTCGGAAATCCCCGACGAGGTCGTCAAAAAAATGACGAGGCCGAGCCTGCGTTTTGACGAGGCCTCCCGCTGCAGACATCCCACGAAACTCCTCCTCGTCAAAATCCGAGGCGCGGTCGTCAAAAAACGATGGCGAACCCGAGTCCTGGCAAACCCAGGTCTTACGCTCCCCCGAGAGAAGGGTACAGGGCAGTTTTTAATACATGGGATTTGCTTAAGAAGAAAAAGAAGAGAAAGAACAAATGTTCTTTCATACATGACTACTTTGTGAATACATTTATGCATGAACTCCTTGTTGCTTTTTGAATACATGATCCGCACGCAGAGCATGCACCAAAAACGGCACTGTACGCACGAACGTTGGCACGATGCCTCCGCGCCGGCTGCGGGTCGTTGGGCGGGCGGCGGCCGGGCGCTCTCTCTGCGGAGCGCCCGAGAAGGTAGGGAGCCCACAAAGGACGTACGCGCCCAGCTGTGTACATGAACACGGCCCCTCGATTCGCGAGACCGGCCGCGATGTACGAACACTTGTGCAAGTCGTGCCCTCGAAACCAGCGCGGATTCATTTACATGTACGTCCTTCTTTCGCTCCCGAGAAGGGTCCAGGGCAGTTTTTCATACATGGGAATTTGAAAAATGTTCGGTTTTCAATACATGACTAATGTGTGAATAAATCTATGCATGAACTCATCGTTGCTTTAAGTACTAGATCCCTGCTTTTTAAGACATGATCCGCACGCAGAGCATGCATTAAAAACGGCACTGTACGCACGAACGTTGGCACGATGCCCCACAGCACATCTGAGCAGCTTCTGAGGATGGAGGGCTCAGGGTGAGATCCACATGGGCGCTCGCACCTCGAGAGTCAATCCGTCTCGTGGTGCACCTGTTGCAGATGCAAGCCTCCAAAATCCATCGAAACGGCATTTCAGATTTCACCCTTTTCGCAGGCCTAGAGGTTGACACCAAAACCAAGATCGGCGGTGCGCCTCCACCGAGGGAGGACGACCCCAATCTCGGTGATGGTGGTAACATTTTGGTTTCCAGGGTGACCGAAATATTAGCACCAACACCGAAATCTAGGATCAATTCCCCATGTGGAGGCAACCTCTTGTGCTGGTGTTGGTGCCAATTTCCAGGCCTCCAACCTTTGCCCTCCACCCGAAGAAAATGCTCGGCACCTGGGGATGCACAAATCGGGGAGACGTAAGTCTCGGGTACGGGGGGCCCGGGTTGGCCCGACGGGGCCAGCGTAAAACTGACGACGGCCCAATCTGAGACTTGACGCGAGCTCACGCTGCAAGCATCCCACGAAAACTGGACCCTTCAAATCCAGGACGCGCTCGTCAAAAAACGTCGGCAAACCAGAGTTCCGGCTTACTCGAGCCTTACGTTTCCCCGAACAAAGACATACCAATAGTACATGTCCTCCTTGGAGGCGCGCGTCCGGGCCGAACATATAGTATACCCATCTTGTAGTTCCCCAATCAGAGCTTGCCTCTGTAGGGGTCCTAGCGGATTCACATGATTAAGTGAAATATGGCGCCGATTTCGGCGGCACGCCCGGGTGCCCAGGTGCCCACGTGCCCTATGGCCTTATAACCTTATAGCTCTACAGCCCCAATAGCCCAAGAGCACTATAGCCCTATAGCCCTATAGCCCTTATAGCCCTATAGCCCTATAGCCTTATAGCCCTGTAGCCCTGTAGCCCTGTAGCCCAATAGCCCTATAGCCCTATAGCCCTACAGCCCTTTAGTCCAATTGCACTATAGCCCTATAGCCCTATAGCCTCATAGCCCTTTAGCCCTATAGCCCTACAGCCCTATAGCCCTATAGCCCCATAGCCCTGTAGCCCTAAAAAGATTATGGTTGGGTTTTTTCTCCGGTATCATACATCATCTCCCGAGCGGTGTGGCCGGAAAGCGCACGCCACGATACAAACACTAGAAGATTTATCGGTTCGCGCGTCGCCCCGGGGGGGCGAAGCACATATCGTATTAGTATGTTGGGGTGACGCCGAACACGTGTCGTCCAATTCGGACAGCGGCCGCTGTTGGGCCGGCGACACCGACAGCGAATCCGGTTCAAAGTGAAGAGGAACTGCTGTCGGCCTTCGTGCTCATTCTTTCCGTACCCAATTCGATCGTGCCGACTCCTGACCCTGTCGGAGATCAACTGACCTGGGTCAATCTAAACCCGGGTCAGCTGTGCTTTGCAGGATCCTGCAGGATTCTGCAGGAGCCTGCTCCCTGACCCAGGTCAGTGCACCCCTGGCTCCGCAGGAACCTGCAAGAGCCAGACTCCTGACTGACCCCCGTTTGCATTGACCCTCGTGTCAAGGCTCCCGTTTGCACCGACCCCCGTTTGCATTGAACCCCGCTTGCATTGACCCACGGACCTCCTCCTCCTCCTCCTCCTCCTCCTCCCTCTCCTCCTCCTCCTCCTCCTCCTCCTCCTCCTCCCTCCTCCTCCGCCTCCGC